TGTTATCTTTTATCATTTTAGTTTTTAGTATTAAAAATTTCAAACTTACACAAAATCAACCTAAGTGTTCACCCAATGGATACAGACAAAGTGGTGTGTGTGTGTGTGTGTGTGTGTGTGTGTGTGTATAAAATTGGCCACTACATGGCCATAAAAAATGAAATAGTCATTTTCAACAACATGGATGGAACTGGGGGTCATTATATTAAGTGAAATAAGTCAGGCACAGAAAGACAAATATTGCATGTTCCTCTCACATGTGGGAGCTAAAAAAGTTGATCTCGTGGAGGTAGAGAGTACAATGATAGATACCAGAGTCTGGGAAGGGAGTGTAGGTGTGTGTGGAGGGGGTGAATGAAGAGGTTGGTTAATGGGTAGAAATATACAGTTAGATAGAAGGAAAAGTTCTAATGTTCAATAGCAGAGTAGGGTGGCTATAGTTAATAACAAGTATTTTATATTTCAAAATAGCTAAAAGAGAGGACTTGAAATGTTCCCAACACATAGAAATGATAAGTACTCAAGGTGTTGGCTACTCTAAATACCCACTGTATAATAGTAGTATGCAATGATTATTATATATTCACGCATGTAGCAAAATAGCATATATAGCCCATAAATATGTACAGATATTAAGTATCAACAAAAAAAGAGAGTTCTTGGTTAAATTATCAAAGGTTAACAATGATATATTTTGTAAATACCTATACTTTCCTGTCCCTTGAACATGCCAGGCTCTTTCCTGCCTTAGACCTTTTCATTTGCTATTCCTGGCACATGAAACCCTGCTTCACTGGCTCATCACAGGCTGGCTTCTTCAATTTCAGCTTAAATGTTATGTGCCAATAAAGGCATCTGCTGTTTTGTAGCCAACATCTATCCACCCTTCTTTGGTAAAATAGTGATCCTATTTTCCTCTGGAGTTCCACCCCCCCACACACACATTTAAGCATGTGTTTTAGGTGGTATGGATTCTATGTCTAGCTCCAGGGGTGGCCTCAGTTGGCTTGCGGTAATCATCATATTCCATTACTCTGGCCACAGTGATGCTTTCAGGATGGCCTGTAACCCAGTCAGAACTGAGAAGATATGAGAAGACATTTACTAGGGTTTCTTTTTTTCTTTCTTCTTTCTTTCTTTCTTTCTTTCTTTTTCTTTCTTTCTTTTTGACAGAGTCTTGCTTTGTTGCCCGGGCAAGAGTGCTGTGTTGTCAGCCTAGCTCACAGCAATCTCAAACTCCTGGGCTCAAGCAACCTCCTGCCTCAGCCTCCTGAGTAGCTGGGACTACAGACAGGCATGTGCCACCATGCCTGGCTAATTTTTTCTATATATTTTTAGTTGTCCAGATAATTTCTTTCTATTTTTTTTTAGTAGTGCTGTGTTGTCAGCCTAGCTCACAGCAATCTCAAACTCCTGGGCTCAAGCAACCTCCTGCCTCAGCCTCCTGAGTAGCTGGGACTACAGACAGGCATGTGCCACCATGCCTGGCTAATTTTTTCTATATATTTTTAGTTGTCCAGATAATTTCTTTCTATTTTTTTTTAGTAGAGATGGGGTCTCACTCTTGCTCAGGCTGGTCTCGAACTCCTGAACTCAAGCAATCCTCCTGCCTTGGCCTCCCAGATTACTAGGGTTTTTGAGAAAGAAAAGTTCCTGTCTTTTCATTGAATGCTTTTGGAAGAGACCTCTCTCTTTCCCTGGATTATTGGATTGGAAATAAGCATTTGTAGTTTTCTTATTTTTATAGTTAGCTCACATTTGAGGAAAAGCAGAAGAGGGGCAGTGAGAGTGGAAATTGGTTTCTAAGTTAACCTAGAAGTGTGAACTTGATATTTGACAATTAGTTGATTTAACTGAGTCATATTCAAATTAGAATTATCTGACTCCCTAATAAAGCATAGCATTTTTTATTGAGTTCGTTTATTCAAGATATCTATCCCTGGGAAAAAAAGACTGTATCAAAAAGTTTGCCATTAGTTCCACGGCTTCCCTTTTAGAAATCATGTATGTTCTGTTCAAGGTCACAGATATTTTGGGATTTGAGATAGCAAACAATCTTGGTATTTTTGGTCAACATTTGGAAAACAGCAAAGAAGCACATTAGAAAAGAATTGCAGGAAGTGGAGCTCAGGCTAGTAGAAGGCAAAGAGAAGATACGGCCTTGCATGCTTCAGCCTTCCACATTTCGGAGCTCTCACTGTCTGACACATCCAGTGACATGTCTCAGATATCAGCCTCAGTCTCTTTAAGGACTACAGGCTCATACTGGTCAAAAACAAACACGCTGACAACAACTCAGCCACTGGCTGGAATTTAGTATTAAGGGAAACAGTGTTTCGTCAGGTTAATCTTTCTAAACTAACTTAATAGTCAGTACATGGATACTTGGAAAATAAACATTATAGTTCAGGTCTCTATTAGGAAGGAAGGAAAGAAGGAGGAAAGGAAGGAAAAAAGGAAAGACTGAAGGAAGGAAGGAAGGGGGAAGAAGAAAGAAACCTCTTAGCTATATACATATATTTTTTGGCAAATTGCTCTTCTAGAGTTTACAAGGGATGAAATATCATATGTGATCTGATTTAATATGCATTCTGTTCCCTATGTAGAAACCAAAGAGTCATGTGTAACCCGAGCTCTTTTTCCAGTTGGAATAAGTTGGTGAGTGTTCCAGTATTAGCATGTGAATCATGCAGCTTGAAAGCCAACTATGGCATCTGCAGGCATGCATGCGCCTTGATATCTCTCCTTCCCTCCCACATACTTGCTTCCGGTTTTCCTGCCAAAGTGGGCAGGTGAGAACAGCTGGCTCAGCTCTTACTAGTGAGAGGAAAAAATTAAACAGTTTAGTTTGCATTTTTTGCTGATACTATGTATTTAAATCGGTATATTTAGACATTTTAGAGGCAAAGACCCCTTAAGTCAGAAAGTCCTTCAGTAATGCAGAGAAAGCAATTGAAAACATACTTTTTGGGAATTGTGAACCACAGTCCCCATTTTGTTGTAAAAAACAAAAAACCAAAACTCATGTCTCTGCAGTTTCATAACCAGCTCCTTCCTATTGGAAAAATGCAATTTAGGCTTTCCTCTACCTCTGTTTTTATAGTTATCATGTGCATTTTTATCATACATATTCGTTCTGTATCTCGCAATGCAAAAAGGGATCATATGGAATCCTGGAAGACTGCCAAATCACATCTTTGGTAAAGTGCTAGGTGCAGTCTCCAGGATAAAGGAAATTTCGTTTGAAGGGGCCTATTTGTTCTTACACTTAAGTTTGTATCATGCGAGTTCAACTCTGGAATTTGTGTGGGTAGCCCTTGGTATCCAGGGGTTCTGTGGATTCAACTAACTAGCAATTAAAAAGATTAAAAAATAATACAACAGTAAAAAAAAATTAAAAAATAAAGCATAACAACTATTTACATAGCATTAGGTATTGGGTAGTATAAGCAATTTAGAGCTGGTTTAAAATATGCAGAAGGATGTGCGTAGGCTATGTGCAGATACTACACCATTTTATACAAGGGACTTAAGCATCTGGATTTTGGTGTGTGGGGATACAGAGGAGGGTCCTGGAACCAATCCCCCCAAGATAAGGAGGGACAACTGTATATGAAATTGCACTTGAAGGGTAGGATGTATATAGAGCCAGTGGTAACCAGTTTGTTTAAACTGAGCCTAGTGCAAGGCAGACCTGTGAGGTGGAGGAGCAGAAGTGCCAGATCAACCTGCCGGCAAGGGACTAAGACTGTTCAGACCAGTTGAACATGCTTATGGAAGCAGGAAGCACCCTGGATGAAACCAGGTCCAAAAGTAATGGCCTTACACAGTGTAAAGGTGTCATAACTTTGATCTTCTGAGACTGACCCATTTTGGCAAAGCTTTGCAACCACTCGGCTATACAATGTGGAAGTTTGTATGCTAATTGGAAATTAGGAATATGGATTTTAATGTCTGGTTGCAGATTATAAGCTTAAAAAATGTTTCAGCAATGTTACATTCTACTTACTATTTTACAGCACAGTTCAATCCTTTTATTGAAGCCTGCAATGATTGGAGTGTGGTAAAAATGTAATGTTTCTCAAGAGTCTGTTGCCACCTAAAGGTCCAAAAACATTATTATCAGATCCTGTACTTTGAATTTTGTTTTGTTTGTGTGTGTGCATGTGTGTGTGTTTTCAGTTCAATGATGTTTAAAATGATAGTTTACCCTTACATGAATGAAAGTTTTCTTTTATGGTGATAATTCACAATTAAAGATGTTTTCATAAATTATATCTTAACTCAATGTGTTTTAAACCAGGGATTTGACATATTCTTGGTGATACTTATACAAGGCGTCTATTCTTTACCAAAGTATGAGAAACACTCTGTGACCTTGGACAAGTCAGTTCACCTTGAGTCCTACTTTCTTGTTCCATACCATAAAATGGGATTTATAATAACTCTCTCAGAAAGTTGCTATGGATTAAGTGAAGACAATATCTGTTAATATTATATAAAACATTTTCCTCCCTCTCTGAGCTCGTTTCCTTTATTCTCTGGGCATATATAGAATCACAAAACAGATAAAAGCATAGAGTAGTTAGCTTTCCTTCCTCAAGTAAAGGAAACAGAATGGTTTTAACAAGTTGTTGCCATATGTAAGGCTTCTATAAAGCTATACTTGGTTGTGATGTAACTTTAGCTTCACTGAGAAGAAATTTGATAATTCCAAGTATTAATAGAATGTTTTAGGTAATACAATCGTAACCAGAGTACTTTATATTTTCCAGCCTCCTGGGGTTGTCCTTTCCATTAACATCCAAATAAAAATTTTGCAAACTCTCATTTGATTCCCCACAAGAAACTCAGTTCCATTCTAGATATTTTTGAGAGTTCTTTGGAGTCTTCCTGTTTTGTTGTCATTTGTCCCTTTTTATTAAACTACCTTCTCAGTTGTTGGTTGTTACTGGCAGTCTGATCACCGTACTCCATGTCATCCTTCTTCTTTTCCACAGCTGCCATATGAAGCCAGAGCCCCTCTTTCATGACCTACAGCAGTGTTAAGACAGGTAGGTACTAGACTGCCCTAAGTTCCCTCCTCATACTCTAGCAGGAGGAGGTGTTTCCAGTTGGCTCGCTCTTTCTCTGAGTCCCCGCTGCCAGGTTCAGCTGCCCGGTGGATTTGACACATTTTTCCTGGCCTTCTTTACTCTAAGTCCCTAGGCCCCAATCCTCCATTACACTACCCAAAATGCTCACAGCAATCAAATCAGATAGTAAGATCTGTATAAAGACTGTCTCAATGTTCTTCCTTGTAGCTTTAAAATGGAAACATCTCCAAATTAAATACCAATTACAAAAATGTGGGTCCTAATTCTGTTAATGCCATTAACAGACGGATTTTACTCACTATTTATATACCATAATTTCACTGGATTTGGGCTTGATTGGCAAGGGTAGAGATGGGAGTTGTAGGAGATACAGATATATATATTCAGAAATACAAAATGATCTCCATAGTTCCTTTAAATTTAGTCTGTTTTATTCTGAAAGCATCTTTTTAGTATTAAAAAACCACCCACATTACAATTAAATTGTCTTTATGTAAGTATGTAAATTTAATAATGAATTACTAAAATTTAAATGTAGCCAGTATAATTTGATTTCCAATTTTACATGGAAAGTTTGGCACACAGCAATAAAATTAATTTTATTGCGTTCCCACTGTAGAAGATATTTTTCTGTCTGTGAATTTCTAAGTCTTCTGAAAAAATATTGTTTTGGGGGAGGAGAAGGACAGGAAGTATAGATGTTATTATAATAAGTATATATATTTCAGTAGCAGAAAACCATATCCGATGTAAAGATAACTGACTTAATTTATAATATATTTATGATGAGCTGATTTTAGATTAGATTCTAGGCCGGGCGTGGTGGCTCACACCTGTAATCCTAGCACTCTGGGAGGCTGAGGCGGGAGGATTGCTCAAGGTCAGGAGTTCGAAATCGGCCTGAGCAAGGCCCCGTCTCTACTAAAAATAGAAAGAAATTAATTGACCAACTAAAAATATATATACAAAAAATTAGCCAGGCATGGTGATGCATGCCTGTAGTCCCAGCTACTCAGGAGACTGAGGCAATAGGATCGCTTGAGCCCAGGAGATTGAGGTTGCTGTGAGCGAGGCTGATGCCACGGCACTCATTCTAGCCTGGGCAACAAAGTGAGACTCTGTCTCAAAAATGAATAAATAAGTAAATTAGATTCTATAAGATTCCCTCCATCAAAAAAGTCAGGCTAGGTTGTTTTTCATTTTGGGGCACGTGGACAGTAATTTTCTTGGAATTGATAATATGTGAAGGTTTGAAGTTTAAGAAAGAATATGAAATAAAAGACCTAGATTGCAACCCTGAGTCACCCTACAGACACACTTGATGGACCTTTTCATGTTTAATTTATTAAGGAGAATTCAGGGGAACACTAGGTCTTACCTCACACTTCAGTTGGGTCAGGAAAGTATCAAACTACAAATGTTTCCCTCTAGCTACAAGCTGTGTAGCTTCTCAGAGCCAACAGACTCACACTTTAGGTTTGGAATGGTTGGGTACCGTGTGGAGTGCGGTTTATGGAGGGAGACTGGGGAGGAGAAGGGAAGACTGCATTGCCTCACACTTAGTGATGGTCAATTTTGCTCTGATTCATGTTTGTTTGTTGTTTATAGATATTGTGGTTATACGAACAACTTCATTTGAAAAAACCTCAATTGTTACTTTTTGTAGGTAATAATTAACTAATAATTAACACCAGTTAATGTTTTGTATTTATATTTATGCACCCATTTTAAACATACCAGGCTTTAAAAATACAGACATATCAAATCATCTCTTTAAACCCGCCATATTGTCTCTTAATCTCCAAGTATCGGTGATCCTCATCTCTTTTAAACTCCATCATTCAGAAGAAATTGAAAGAAAACCTACCTACAATCAGGCCCCTTAGGCCTGCTGACTTGCCAGTGCGGCCTTGAAGATGGATTATAAATTATGAAGCAGCTAAGAAGGTACTTAGTGGTATATTTTAGTTGCTTTTAACTATAAAACTTAGTTTTTTATGGTTCCTCAATTTCCTGGATCTGCATAGAATAATTCTGTAAATAAAGTAGTATCTACTTAAGTGATATTAATGTACCCTATTCATTTCTTCCTTACAGTGGTGGGAACAGCAATCATCTTAGCCACTGATGGAGAAACAAATACATGTATTCAAAATAAGCTTATAGTAACATCAAGGTCACCCTCTTAAAAGCTTTTTGCACCCTTAAGTGGGAGGAAAAGGCGTAGAGACACTGCCTACATCACTGAGTATATCCAGGAAACTGTGAGGTGCGTGTCAATGCCATTTTTCTTGTGCTTCAAGGTGAAAGAATGCTTAAGAACACTGCTTCAGAACAGCAGATTTTGAACGTTTTAAGTCACATAGTCTTTTTCTCAAAATAAATTTTACATGACCCTAAAATATATACAGTAGGTAAAAAAAAAAATAGCAATAGGCAAAAACATAAATGCTCTGGTTGAAATGGTGGGGGATAGGGATGGGAAAGTTACAGAAACCAAATGTCTGGGCTTCTTTTTTGAATATCCTCACCCCCAAGAGTCCAGAGACACCTCTATAGATTCCCAGGCCTAGAAAAATGTTTCTATATAGTTGGCTTTGTTGCAACATAATAATTGTAATACCAAAGAGAGTGCAAACATGCATCAAATATTAGAGCTTGCATAGAGAAACAGCTGAGAGATCACAGTTATCCTCAAGCTCTGTGATGGCTCATTGGTCGTCAAGGAGAGGAGGAGGGGCCCAGTGGATTGGGCTTTGCTCTCTTTTATCCCACATCCCTGCACACACTGACACACACAGTTACTCTTATATCTGTTTGCCCTATTGTGTTTTGTATGTAAGATTTTTCTTAAAGAAAAGATTCAACTTCTAAAAAGTAAAACAACAACAACAACAAAATAAAAAGCAGAAATCTTTGTTTAATTTTCTTGTTTTATAGGTGAAAACCAGGCTGAAGTAACTTACAGGGGGAATGTGGTCTTCCAATCTCCTAACAGGGTGGCCTATACACATTTTGAGCCTTACAAAATAAGGGCAAAGGCAGAGGAAGGCAGTCATGGGAATGAATCAGAAACTCCAATGGCACAATCATGAAATATTCAAAGATGGTAAAGTAGAATTGTGGGCTTCTTTTTTATTATTTTAGAATTGTTTTCCAGCTTTATTTAAATCAAGTTTGTTCTGTTTTTCCAATAAGCATTGTTTTTGTATTGCCTAACAGATTTTCTCAGTCTTTTTATGTCAGTTTCTCCTGCACATTTTTATAATGTCTATTATTTATGTTAAACCATCTTTAAGTAGAAGGCTATTGATAGTTTTATCTTTGAGGAACCTACCCTTTATTATTTCTATAACTATTCTACTTTGAGTGAATTAGTGTAAATAAATTTAAACTTAATTTCTTTAATAGAACATTTCTTTAATTTACATGGATACTGGAAACCAATAAAAATAATCAGAAAATGATGAATTTTCTTCCTGTTAAATAATTTTAGTTAAGTTTCTATTATTATTATTACTTTAATTAGAATATCTGAAATGTTTTAATATAGACTACAAATGATCTTATATAGTACAAGTTTATGAAAAGAAAGACAAAAATAACATGGCATGAGGAATCATATTAAAGTGCTCTTTGTACAGACAAGATATCATTACCAGAAAATTAGAAGATTCTTAAAGCTTCTTAGAAAGCCATCTCTACATCAACCAACAGGTTCATTGTCCTCCAAACTGGTAAACTTGTTTTAAGTCTTAAAAGATTATTTATGTGGGTTATATAAAAGGGTTTCCTCTATACTGCCAGAGTTCCAAACTGGGAACTACTGTAGTATAAGAAGCTATAAGATAGATAACTGAAACTACTTCCTGTTCCTTTGGCTCAGATGCTTATTATTCAGGTGATAACATACAATTAGCCTGGAAGACAGGTGTTAGCTCTACAATAGTCTGACCGGTTAAAGGAAACACAATGTGAATACTTTCAGAGGAATAGAATGAATCATCTTTGCTGTTACTATTGTCATTGGTCATTTTCCTTCCTTTCTGAACATGCTATGATTAATTGGACACTCTTCTACTCAATAATTTAACTCAAAAGCTACTCTTTTATAGAACCTTATAGATTGGTAGAATCATGGATTTTAAAAATATTTAATACTGGAGATAATCTTGGAGGTCATCTAGTTTTTATAAATGAGAAAAATGAGGCCCAAGGCAAATAAATAATGATTTAAATTACTTTATTTGCAGCAGGATCAGGTCTAGAATTTAGGTCTCTTGGTTCTTAGACCAGTGTTCTCTTCAGCATATCATAGCTCTTCTCTTGAATGTCAGTTGCTCACTAAAGATGTAATTCATCTGAATTCCTAACTTGTAACCTGTGGTAACCTCCATTGTGAAAATGAACTGGCATGAGGTTAGGAAGAACTCTTCAGAGTCCCCCAAACATAGCTCACTTAAAAACTGCCTGCCCAGTCAGGGCAATTCTCCCTCTCCCTTTAAGCCCTGGGAAAGTCTCTGGAAACCCTTGCCTGTTTTTGTGGCATCTCCTGGGAAACAGATCACAGTAGGGATCACTGAAGGGCCACTGGGTTGAGATGATAGCAAGCCAACAAAATAGAAAATATTTTTGAAAATAGAAAAGGAAAGAAACAGAGAAATAAGGAAAGAGGGAAAAGAAAGAAAGAGAGAGAGGCAAAGCCATATTACAACAGTGGAATCTAAAATGCCAGTGGCCTTCTGTGCTCATGATTAAAAACATGGAGCTTGAGCAGCCTGGGTTATGGACATCTCTCCTTAGCTGCACCAGCTGCTGCATCTCACACTGCTTTCTATGTCCATTGTCAGAGACAAGAGACAGGGATTGGGATACCGGCTGATGCTGCTTTGGAAGTTACCCCTCCTTTATGTGGTTCATGAAGTATATTTAACAAATAGTCTCAACATATCTCATGGCAATCATCGTCCCAGTTCTCCATATTTTCCTGCCCTTTCTTTCATTTCATGTTCCTTGCTTAGCCTATTACAAAGTTACTATTTTCATTCTCTTAATACTAAAATGAGAAAGTTGGAATTTCTCTCTTTTGTATACGAGCCAAGGCATAACCTGTGTCAGGGCTGCTAGGGGTGAAGTAGGCAACAGGGACAGAGTGAAAGGTGACAGATCAATATCCATATGCAGTGGACAACAGTTTTCTATAGATTATAGTAATTTGGAAGTGACTCAGGATAAAATGAGTGTTATAAGTAATTATGGTTTAATTATCAAGCTATATGTTAGACTCATATTCAGGTACTTGATATAAGCAAATACTAGCATTCATATTTTACGTGGAAATGTTTCAATGACCTAAGTTTTTATGAATATCTATGGCAGTTCTGAAAATAATTTGAGGTTACTGAGCTTACCCTACCCTTTTTGCTAAAAATAGTGCCCCCTCCCCCTACTATCCTGCAAAAATACTTTCTTCATTTGCCAGGATCCTGAAATTGGAAAATTAAATATTTTATTCTTTGCTTATTTGTTGCTTATCTAAAATTTAAATAACTCAGGAATGATAACAAATGAAGCTTTGTTAGCTATTTATACATGAAAGTGAGTCTATCCCATCATTTCCTGCATCCAATTTTTGCTGAGGGGTGGAAGACTGGTTTGATGGTAGAGGAAGTTTATGGGTGCATACTGGAGAACTTTTGTGGGGGATTCATCTAAGGAGGGCCCAGCAAAGGGAAGGGGAGCTCTGAAGACAACTCAGTCCACTTGACAATCTATCCTTCCAGGCAGCAGCCTGCCATGGTCTCAGCCTGGCTTCTCTCCCAATACTTTTAAGAGATGGTAGATCAAGGGATGTTGAGAGCAAGCTCAAAAACCTAAATAACAATTATGATGTGGCACTCAAGAGCCACACCTGGTTACACATTGTTTAGTAGCATAAATATTATTCTGTACAGTTCCATGTATTCAAAACTTTTAAAAGCACACTGTATTTTCAGGTTACTTAAACATGTCCTATGGTATTACCTTCTTGTCTAACGAGGGTATATTACCAATGCATATTTTGCTATCTATAAATAATGAATAAATGTAGTTACATATTCTGAATTTCCATATTACTAAACAAATTTAAATTTCAATCTGGGCACTTTATACTGTACTTGATTACACTCATGATTGAATGGTCAGTTCGTTCAATCGAACAAATGGTTAATTTAGTAACATATTATTTCAATGTGGTTACTTTTATTGAGTTGCCTAAAACCAAATATAAACAAAATTAACCAGAACCCAAACAAACTCCCAACCATATCCTGAATCTGCAAGTTAATTCAGTCAAAAAAGGTGAGGTGTTAGAAAACAGATTATTGGCAACACCAACAGGAGCTCTTGTGAACATACCAAGAGTTGAAATAATTTGATTTTAAGAATTAGTTTTTTAAAATATATATTTATAAAATGTTCTTTCTGTAATAAAAAATAACTTGCATTGTTATGGGGGTTAAACAGTGACTGTGTATGGAAGGTCAGCTTCAGATTGAGTTGAGAGAAATGAAACAGAAAAGTAATGATTGCAAATGACTAGGAAAAACTTAGAAGGGTTTGGCCAAACTCTTTGGGGTATAAAAGTTGGATTCATTAATAATAAGTTCTCCCTCATTTATACTGAAATCAACTTTATTTCGTGGGCAAAATTACTAAAGCCAGATGGCCTCCTGGAAAAGTGAAAGAGAGAGAGAGGTGTATGCACACGCATAGATATGTACACACATTTGGGATCCTACCCTTGATGGGCTCTGCCTGGCTTCGTTCATACCTGTCTGCTAGGGGTGGACAGGAGACCAACTATTTCTATCATGGGAGCAGAAGATTTTCTTTGCCACTACCTACCTTGTTGAGAGATTTGCCAGCTTCACTCCAAAACATAAGCCATTAGTTTTTGTTTGCAAAGAAATGTTTAAAGAAACAAGCTATGATTCCTTGGTTTTGTTAAAAATAGTACGTGTATGGTGGTAATTAGTTTGGAAGTGGAGGAGACTGAGAATGATGTGCATGTAAGGACAGTCCCTTGCCCTCAGGTTGTGTAATATTTGCTGAATTGTATCCAATATGTAAGAGACACAGGCAAATACAGATAATGTTCAGAAGCTTAAAGATGTTTTAAAAGTAAAAATTAGTTTTTGACCATAAGATACTTTAGTGTCATGAATACTTGCATATCCCAAGATTAATGTGTTTTAGCCATAAATAGATCAGCTTCCTCAAACTGTGAAGGGACAATAGAAACAATACATACACACGCATACATACATACATACATAAATTCTACGGGTTAAATATTTAAAGTAAATACTAATTAAATAAAATCAAATGCATAGCAATTTTCTTATTTTTTTAGATTACCATTAGCTATTATAGTAAAATTTGACATCTTTTCAGCAAATACCTTTTTAGAAACATAATTTTATTTATTAAAAATAATTTCACATATCTTATAGCTATAGTCAACACAGAATTTATGTTAATAGTTTAATCTGTCATCTCTGTTTTGGACTATTCAGGATATTAAAAATACGAAGTCTATAATGCATCCACTTATTTTTCTTATGTAACCTATCTTAGTGTTTATACTAAAATAACTTAAGTCTAATTTGCTTGAAAACACTGAGACAACAGAGTTTTTAGTCTTGATACTTTGGCACAAAGTATCCATAATTATTACTATTGCAAAATTAAGCATGCTTTCAGAAATCGGACAATGTACAAATTGGGGAAATTCTAAACTTTTCTATTTAGAGATTGTTTCAGAGAATGCAAATCTATCCTCTTTAACACTAGTTTTTCAATTTGTGTGCTCTTACACTCTAAGTAAATAACTAAATTGATCTTTCTCACCTTTGGATTAAATTTGGAGAAATCTCATTTTTAAAAGATAATCTGGCTTTTCATTAGCATCTTTTAATGGACTTGTTCATGCTGAGCAAATGTATTTGAACCTAATGAACAGTTAGTCACAGTACATTCCCCTGCACTGGGAGAGGATTTTTGTTGTTATTTAGTTTTGTTCTTTATCAGCAGCGTTGTCCTGGATGGCTAGGATCAGAGTTCTGACTTACTGCTTTGACTTTAAGCATGCACAATCCTATAATTTTGAGGTCATATCTATACAGAAGCAAAGAGCTCATTATTATATTTATTTTTAGAATATATGCATATAATAATCAGGTTTGTGAAGGGCACAATGAATCATTGGCTACTGATAGTTTTATTTTTAATAAACAATAATTTATCATGGCTAATTGGGCTTAGGATGTTTTTGTTTTTATGGTTAAAAATACGGGAAAGAAAAATAAAACAAACTGTATACGTTACTCAAGCAGCATTTAAAATATAATTTCATGTAGGGTTGAAAATTGCAAAATACTTCATTATTTATACTTTTGGGAGATGTTTTGTCTCAAAATAGCAAATTAAATCAGTTATTTGTGTGATATTATAGAAATTATAGGGAATGTATTAATATTTGATAGCATTAAATATATTAATCAACTCTTAGCCTTAAAACTATAAGAAAATGACTTTGTGGACAGATGGCATAATAAAAATAATAATAATTTAAAATTGTATCCAGAGGTTTTGCTCATAGAATAATCTTTACATGCGATTTACCCAGCTTCTGTTACCTGGCCTTGCATACCCATCACAAACCCCAGCTCTTTCTCAGGCCTTTCCTAAATTCCTCCTACTTCATGTAATTTCCTTCTTTGAACGTCCACTGGTTATTTGTGTACTTAAACATACTTTATTAATTCTTTATCAGCTACAAATGCTTTTCAGTTTTAAGCAACAGAGACTCAGATGATGGCTTAAAAAGGTGGCATTTTATTTTTCTCACATGATGCAAAAGTGGAGGTTGCTGATGCCATTACATCAGCAGCTCAGTATTGTCAGGACCAGCATTGCTGCCACTTTCTTGTCTGTCCCCATTTGATTGCAAGATGACTGCTGCAGCTCCAGGCTGCACATACATCAGCATTCAGGGCAGGACAAAGGGGAAAGGACTGGGACTAGCCATATCTGTTCCTTATATCACAAAAGAAAAAAAGTTTCAAACACCTCCATCAGAGTCCTTACATCTCACTGCCAAAATTTTGCAACACGGCCACTCTAGCTGTAAAGGTCTTTGGGAAAGTGTATTTTTAGCTTTTCTGCCTGTATTTTAAAGGAGAAGGGGGTTGGGAACCAAGAATAATTGTCATGGATTATAATCTGTGTTTTAGTCCCCTCTGTAATACTGCATTGCTGATATATCTCCTACCTATAGAAGTCACTCCACTATTACTTATTGAAGTAAATTACAGTAGTATAAGAAATATGTTTATTAAAAAAAGACTTTAAACATAATGAAACATGTATTTGGGAGACTAATTTCAAAATAAAAATTTACAAAGGGTCTGTTAGAATTATTTATACTTTGGGGGAAACAGAAACAGCAACAGAAAGGTAGGTGGAGATTGATTTTCATTTTCATCAGTCATGCAGTTTTCTATATTTTAACAACTGTTATGAAATTATATATATTTAGTCCTTTCCAAATTTCCAAAAGAGTCTCTTTCAACTTTTTCTTTTCCAACCAAAGTCTTCGTGTTAAACGTTAAAATGTGTTTCACTTTCAAAATGATTATTATTCAATGTTAAATATAGACCTGGGAAAGCTTTGCTAATACACCCTAATGTAAAGAGCCTTGTCAGATATAACCATTTTTTGAACCTATTACTGGCTCTTCCCTTCTTTGGTTTTCCTAAGTATTTTCCTTCTTTTCAGCAGTGAAGACAGGTAGATTCGCACCAATTGCGAACTGGACCTTCGTGTGCTACAGAAAAAAGTGACCCTCAGAGGGATGCCTGGAAACACCTGGAGTACCCAAGGCTGGCCTGCATATAAGTGGCAGAAGTTAGAGGTGGCCCTTGAGTGTGTCCTGTTGGCAGTCTCGCTGGCTTCTCAGTTGCTAGAAGAACCAAAAGAGTTTCAAGGATTCCTGAGGATACAGGTTTATTTCTTTGAGTATTGATGTTCCATGGTGGTTCTGGGCTACCTAAGCCCTAGATTTGATCCATGTTCCCAAGGCTAGTGATGGTCCAGACGTAGCAAGTCTTGGATGATGGCAAAAGATTTTTTTCAGATTTATCTGACTCTAGGTGCAATGAACAGTTAAATTCATATTGCCCTTGAATTTAACAGTGAGTCTAAAGGCCTGCACTATTATGTCTTTTGACCTTATAACTGTTTCTATGTAAATATTTCATTAATACTAAAAAAAGGTAAGAGGCCAGGGAAAAGCTTAAAAAGTTGAAATTATGGTGAAGCCATCTGGGACAAGGAAAAATAATATTTATAAATGAGAATTAAAAATACAGTTTTAATCCCTAAAATGTGTTAGGGTTTTAGAAAAGTGTTAGCAGTAATCTGCCATAATTGGAAGTGCTTTCAAGTGTGTGGATGAAAGACACCTTGGTAAATATATAGTACCAGTTCTTCAGTTAATAATAGTAATTTGGCACTTTTATATGAGGACTTCAATACATTAGATACATTAAACATCCCAACAGGCAGCCTCTTTCCAAATCATCAAATGGACAGGAACTGACTCATAAAATTTCACAGAGCAAGTTGCCAACATAATTTGAATTTGATCTGTGACTTATTCTCAGCTCAGATAGCTACCTATGGTTATACACCTGTAATGTGTACCTTTATTGACTAATCAACACTTACTGAGTAGTTACTATGTACCAAGCACTGTAATATGCAACTACTCAATAAGATGAATAAAACCTAGTTTTTGCCTTCAAAAAACTCATAGCTATTCCACATTCACTTAATCATCCTGCAGCTGCCCACATAGTTAATTCTGGAAGGGGAAGCCTTTTGGGTTTTACTTTGGCTCCATCCTGGGAATTTGTCATCAAATATACCTGATAAATATGTTTTAGACCTAGACTTGCTTAGACCACTTGTGTATCACACACTAAGAATACAAATGTGTATAATTTTAGAGAAGAGACAAGGAAAAAAATATAAGTGTGTGGATATTGGGGTGGGATTATAGTTATTTCGATATGAATGAGTAGAAATGCTCTTTTGAAAGTTTTCACATATTAAATTCTTAACAAATAAATTGTGCTATCATATTTCTTTTGAAATAACTTTTTCTTCTTTTAATTGAAATAATAAATGTTCCTCTACTCTTGAGCCAGTTGGTTCTAAGCCAGTTGGTTCTTGCCCCTTGGTATGTTCACTAGTTTAGATTCCACTCCTAAATTTATTTCATGTTTTTTTAAATTATTTTTTATTCCAAAATATTAAGGGGTGCACATGTTTTTGGTTACATGGATTGCCTTTATAATGCTTGAGTCATAGCTGTAAGGGTGCCCTTCACCCAAATAGTGTTCATTGTACCCATTAAGTAGGTTTTCATGCATACCCTCCTTTCCCCTGCCCTGCTTGATTTCCACTGAGTTTTACCTCCCTCTGTGCACATGTGTGCTCATTGGTTAGTTCCAATTTAATAGTGAGTACATATGGTATTTGTTTTTCCATTTTATAGATACTTCATATTCTCCAATGTCATTCAAATTGTTGCAAAAGGCATTATTTCATCCTTTTTATGGCTGAGAAGTACTCCATGGTATATATATACCACATTTTGTTAATCTACTCATGAATTGATGGGCACTTAGGTTGATTCCACATCTTTGCAATTGTGAATTGTGCTGCAATAAACATTTGAGTGCAGGTGTCTTTTTGATAAACTGACTTCTTTTCCTTTGGGTATTGCTGGATCCTTTGGGTATTGTGAGATTGCTGGATAATGGTAGGTCTACTTTTAGTTCTTTGAGAAATATCCATACTGTTTTACATAGAAGTCATACTAATTTGCAGTCCCACCAACAGTGTATAAGCATTCCTTTCTCTCTGCATCCACACCAGCATCTATTGTTTTTAGACTTTTTAATAAAAGCCATTCTTACAGGGGTAAGGTGATATCTCGTTGTGGTTTTAATTTGCATTTCCCTGATGATTAGTGACATTGAGCATTTTTTCATGTTCATTGGCCATTTGTCTATCTTCTTTTGAAAAGCTTCTGTTCATGTCTTTTGCCCAAAGTGATTTAGAGATTCACTGCAGTCCCCATCAAAATACCAGCAGCATATTTCACAAATCTAGAAAAATAATTCTATACTTTGTTTGGAACCAGAAAAGAGCCCTAATAGCCAAAGCAATCCTAAGCAAAAAGAACAAATCTGGAGGCATCACATTATCAGACTTTATACTAAAAGGTGATAGTAACCAAAACAACATAGTATTGGCACAAAAGCAGGGTCATAGACCAATGGAACAGAACAGAGAACCCAGATATAAAACCATCCATAGGCAGCCAACTGATCTTTGACAAAGCAGACAACAATATACACTGGGGAAAAGAAACCCTTATGTTTATTTCTGACTTTGAAGATCAGAACTTTTTATGAAACTCCTTTTCCATTTTATCTGAGATAAGTAATCTGGTGATCTCTCATTAACTTCCTTGTCTTCCAGACACAGATTTCTAAATTTTAGACTGTATGAGACTTAGAAACGGATACTTGTCAACTTTTCATATTCTCTCAGACCTTAACTTATTCTTAGGGATGCATTATATCTCTTCTGTTTCCATCAATGCTGGACATAAAATTCTCAAAAGAATGAGTGTGACAGCTATCACAGCAATAGTGAGGTAGTACTTCTTGTTGCTCATCAATTTTTCATATCATATGTTGTTACTATACTATATCTGTAGCCTAATTAAAATGAATTTTTAAAAGTAATTTTGGGTTGTCTTTACCACTGTTGTCTATTAGCTGGGATAATTAGGAGGTGATTATATAGTTACACATGTCTCTGGAATGTATTTTGGACTTACATTTGAATGTGGGTGTATCATGCTGGGAATTTAAAGTACTAATTCAGATGGAATAATGAAGCTTTACTGTGAAGCTTAGGCTCGTAAAATACAGAGGCTTCCCATTTTCCAGGTCGTGGGCTTTTGCTTATCTCCTTGTTCTCTACCTCATGTTGGGGGTGACTAGAATCTTCCCCTTGTCTAAAGAAGCATCAACCTAAGCAGCAATGATTTTCTCCACCCCCACCTAGTTGACTTGCTCTTAGTTTTTTCCTTCCATGTTTGTTGGGAAAGTAATTAAAATTTTTACTGTACTTAGATTAAAAAGTTTCATTCAGTTTTTGCTAGGCTATAAGTAGACTATTGAGGAGGCAATTAAGTAGGAAGATACTATCATAAAGATGTGAAAAGAAAAAAAATTATACAGCTATCAATAATAGAAACAGTTAACATTTGTGTAATTTATATTGCATATTCTTTAATCAAATTTATACAATACATGGATGTTATTCTTGAGTGACAATTTGAAAATTATGCAACTAGATTTCTTTTCCTCAATATTCAATTCTTCCAATGAAATTATCTAGCCAATCAACAATGCTTTCTCTACATTCTACCTCTCTAGACATGGCTCACTTATCCCATTAGAAGGTAAATTCAGTGGACAGTTTCCTTTGTTTTCACAAGGCAAACTAAGTTCTTCCCCTTTACTTTGCTCTTTGTAGTGTGTATATTTTGATCATAGAAAGGAGAACAATGTTTGCTTATCTCTTGAGTTCTCCAGCCACCCCTGAAATCCATGCTGTGATAATATGATACTTACTTAGGTGAAGGGCCTCTTGTGACTTCATGTTTTTTATTTGTTTATAAAGAATTCTTGTGGATGTAGAAAACTGGAGTGCTTACCTAATATAGTCTTGCATACTACTTTAAATTTTTTAAGCATTTTCTTTATCCAGGCACTATTCCTCTATTTAAGAGGGAAAATAAGGGAAACGCTTTTATATAGTGTCAGATAAATTCATGTTATATAATAAGTACTTAATAATAAAGGTGATTTTTGACATCTTTAAAATTATTAATAATTTATTCTAAAAATATTTATTGAATGTCTTCTATGTGCGAAAACTGTTCTGTTTGAAGATCCTAAGTATTTCTATGATTGTTGTTTACTTTACCACATTGCATTGCATTGCTCTCTATTTTGATTTATTGATCTTTATTTGTTTAACTTTGATAATACAACAGAATACTTGAGACCCAAATCTAAAAAATCTTATTCTGACCAGAGTAACAAAATTTAAAAAGGTCTTGTTGGTCAAAGATAAAAATTACATGTAAAGAACTGCTCTGTGCCTACACTTTGTTGGCATTTATTGTCAGTTCACAGTATTAAAGACATGGATAATTATAGATGAAAGGTAGGCACCTCAAATTTAACTTTTAGTCATACATTTTGAAATGTTACAGTGGTTCCAAAGAATATGTGAAGGCTCTTTCTTGAACTGTGGATAAAGTTTAATTACAGTCATGTGCCACATAATGACTTTTTGGTCAACGACAGACCACATATATGATGTGGTCCTGTAAGACTATAATGGAGCTGAAAAATTTCTATCGCCTAGTGATGTTGTAGTAGCCATTGTATTATTGTAGCACAACATATTATCTTTTCTATGTTTAGATACACAAATATTTACCATTGTGTTAAAATTGCCCACAGTATTAAGTATAGTAATATATTGTACAGGTTTGTACCCTAGGAGCAATAGGCTATACCATGTGTAGTAGGCTATACCATCGAGGTTTGTGTAAGTACAGTCTGTGATGTTCATACAGCAATGAAATTGCCTAACCATGCATTTCTCAGAGTGTGCCTCTGTTGTTAAGCAATGTGTGACTAGCAATCTGAATATCTAATGCTTACTTGTGAAAGAACTTCATGCTGATGAAACTGATATCTTAGGAATACAACTTCTAAAACAGTGATGTAATAGTGTGAACTCGAAATTGCACATAATCTGTACACTCTAAATATTTGTGCTATTTCACATTATCTCTACCCTTTGTGGATGCTGGGCAGATGACAGCTTGGAGAACTACCCACCCATAGTTGCTCTGAGAGAATATAATTGGTGAGGCTGTCTATTTCAAGCCAGGTATAAGAAGGTAGAGCACATTAGGGGATTATTACTGGTCAAAGGTTTAGTTTCTTAGGCCTCAGCTTTAAAATCTTGGTGAAGGCCAGGCGCTGTGGCTCATGCCTGTAATCCTAGCACTCTGGGAGGCCGAGGTGGGCGGATTGCTCGAAGTCAGAAGTTCGAAACCAGCCTGAGCAAGAGCGAGACCCCGTCTCTACTATAAATAGAAAGAAATTAATTGGCCAACAAATATATATAGAAAAAATTAGCCGGGCATGGTGG